CTTGTGTGTCACTCCTTGGCTCATGTTATCCATTGTGTAAGAAATTCTGGTTCAGTGGGAACCTATTTCTAGTACTTTTTAAGATACAAGCTTCAAAATACATGTAACAAGGAAACAAACTGCAAGTCTGCTGGCTATATGTTAATTTACTATGAACAGAGTAAGTTTAATTTTTCATTGCCAGTTCTGACTGTGAATAGTAGCTGAATGTCACTAGGATTCCTGCTACTTCCTGTAGAAGTCAGATATTGCAGAAAGCAGCAAAAGCTGATCCTTTAAAAGACAGTTTCCAAAGACTGAAACAAAAGAAGCTATGCAATGAGATTATTTAATCTTTAATTGTAGCAGTTTTAGAAGTTACACAAACCTGTAGCAGCATTTAGAACATTACACTGCATAACTTAAATTCAAGCTAGAGCTTTCTGCTAGTATTTTGTACACCAGGCTGAAGTTTCCAGCCTTCTCACATTAGCTCCTGATGTTGAGCCTGTCTCACTGCTACTAAGTCTGTCTACTGCTGTATATTTCCTCTTTTTAAAGATCCAGAAATAAAAGTATAATAATACAAATTGTTTTCTGCACTGATTGAATCCTTATTCTTGTTTTCTAAGTTGCTCAAAATCGAGGCTGTATCAGTGAAAAAATTAGATGTTTGATACCAGGAAGCAATTTTACATTTTGTTACTAGTCTGTATGGAGCAAAATGTAAACAGGCATTCTATTCATAAAAGTACAATTAAATCAGGAGACATAAAAAAGGCTGGTTAAAGATTTGTAAAGCCAGACATCACTGGGAAGCTTTTAAGTAATGTGAGAACAAACCCTTTACAGTACATGTTAGTGCAAACTGAAAATATTTTTCAGTAGGTTTAAACAAGTTTTGTTTTTTTTTTTGTTTTTTTTTTTTTCATTTGAAATCTTAACACGATTCAAAGCTACACTTGTAACTCAGCTCTTGAAGTCATAGCACAGGGTTAGAGTGGGAGATGTACAAGGACTGGTACAGAATAACTTCTACAGCAATTGGAGACATGACAAGGTTTCTCCTGTTACTGACTTTATTAGGGGAGCTTGATCAGAAGTGCTACTCACCTTAACCTGCGTATCTTTCATCTTTGATGGCACTGATCTGGTCATTGTAATATGGTGTGGAAAATGGATTTTTCAGAAATCAGTTTTCTCAGGTTTATACTCACCTTGTACAAAACTAGAAAGAAATACAGAAAAAGAATCCAGTGTTACAGGTTTTGGAAGTTACCGACTGTTTATACAGAATTGCACTATTGTGGTTTTGTCAGAAATGTTATTTTTGTAGAACTCAGATTTTTAAGAGTAATGACAATTAGTGAAATGCATTTCAGAGAGTCTCATCTCTCAGGCAAGATGAGTTTTAGTAAATGATAATGCACAGTACTTGTATTAGGTGTCAACAATGAAGACAGTGATGTGTTATCATGACCATCAAAAGATACCTCTATGATATACCCTCTATGAAGAATACATCAATGGAGTGTTATCAAGAGCATTAGTTTCTGTACCGAACAGATCAGAAATACACATGAAGAATGCTAATTTAAGGCTCTTTAGTATGTTAAAGCAAGCAGTGCATTAGGGAATGCTTAATCAAAAAAAACCCCAGTAAGATCTATACTGCATGGAGCATCACCGCATATTTTTTTGTTGCATGCAATGTGGTAGTGTGAATATGAATGTTAACTCTTATTCAGTAGGGAGATAAGGTTCACAAGGTAAAAGGCAGTGTCTCACACCATAAAGTCCAAATGTCCCATACTGTTGTCCTGCTGCATACACTCTTGCTGTTTATTCTTTATTGTATGTAGAGTACATGTTTCTGCAACAAATTACAGCAGTTCAATGGCACAGAACATTTTCTCATTGCACAGCTGGGAGCCAAGAACAGTTCTGTAACATACCCACCATGGATTATCTTCCTAACAGTTAAAACTGTTGAAGGGCACTGGTGCTGGAACTGAACACACCGTATTTATTTTTCTGCATTCAGAGGCACCACTTGAATCCACCTTCCCTGACAGAACATAAGGCTACGGAAAAAGTTGCACAGTGCCTGTGACACAGACTGCTTATTGTTGTGTCAAGTTTTTAATAATATTTTGTCACATTACAAAGAGAAAAAAATCAAGCTGTTTTTTAAGTTGATTGAGATTGACAATAGCTGCTGTTTCCCTCTCTTTCCTAATGCCAGGCAAAGCATTTGCATATATCTGTGGGTGTTATAATTTTTGGACCATCCAAAGCAGGGTGAAACCTGGGTGAAAGATGTGATCCATCAATCAACAATGCATCCTTCTGTGAGGGAGTGATTAATAGTGGTACCACTCAGTGGCAGAACTTTTTTCCCTGCTCCCATTTCATTAACCTAAGGAGAGAAACACATTATGTTGCTTTTTATGTTATGTGGATATTCTCAGTATTGCCAGTGAGAAAAACTAAGAATCCATGGGAGAAGACTGAGGATTAAACATGTGTGTCTGTGTGTGTGTTCATAGACTGGTATACATCTGTTTTCTTACGTATAAAGTCCTATATGGGCATTTTATTTTTTTTGCTTTCCTTTTTTTTTTTTTTTTTTGTCTTTGGGCTTGTCCTTACTATAATGATAGCTTGACTAATCTACACTTGGGTAAAACTCCTCTCAAGTTAGTGTAACTTAAATGAGAAAAGTTGTGTTCAAAATAGTGGAACCTGGATAAGCAGCATAGGAGTTCAGTCTTGTCTCATTAGCAGCTCCAGAGCTGGCTGAATGTTCGTACACTGGCTTTAAGCCAGACTTCACTTACGGGCCAACTAAAATCAAGAAACCAGTTTTTTCTTTGGAAATCTCCTTTCCAAAGGAGTAGTACTTCAGACTGTTCCTGCTGGAGGAAATAGGCAGAGAAGGGGAAAATTGCCTTCGTTGGAGGAATTATTTACATTCATTCAAGTTGCCCATTCTTAAGTTAAAAAAATTAAAACTGAGCAAGAGGGAAAAAAGAACATAAACTATTCGCAATTCTTTATGATGTGAGTGTGCCAAATTCTGTCAAATAAAAAAGTGGGTATTTGAGAAGCCATGCCATGTTTTCATCCACACAAAAAGTATAGAGAAAGAGAATGCAGAAGATGAAAGAGAAAACTTCTTGTTTGTTAGAAAGTGGAGATAAATAAGGTTGCAGGGAAGCCTGTAGCATCCAGATGAAGGACAATAAGAGTGGAAAAGGTAATGGATATGGAGAGAAGCTGTTGAAAATGAGAGGGAAAGGAATGTAAAGGGAAGTGAAGAAAAAAGAGCGGGAGAATGGCAGAGCTACTAGTGGAAATAAAGACATGCAGGGATATCGTATGAAGTGACATTGACTGGAAGATGAGATGATGGCATATTGGTGTAACATCATTCAGGACAATCCCACAGGCCTACGGTGCTCTGCACGACCATGCACTTGCTCCTGGGAGGGTTTTTCATCTGGGGAAGACTGACATTTGGTCATAGGTGTAACAGCATAACAGAGACGTCAGGAAATGTGCTCAGTTGGATGCGTGCACATTCTTTCAACTTGAATTGTCAGATATATTGTTTATACCTGCACTGGTAAATAATATCAGAGGTGCTCAGTGAGGCAGCAATGTGGGCATAGTAAGACTGCTAGTAAAAAGTGAAAACAGCTGGTTTTACCTCTGCCCTCCTTTGTTTCACCCTGAAAAGTAAGTTGAGATTTCTCCAGATGTACCAAGGACAGATTTCTCAGGTGGAGTGTACTGCTTTTACAGTCACTTTTCTGATTATAGTGGCAGTGTTTTCTTAAGTTACTTGAAGATGAGAGCAGCAATTGCCAAATGAAAGCTGAAGAGAATAGTACTGAACCGTTGTTTTCCAACTCAGAAAATATTCCAGTAGGTGCATTTTTTATTTGTTTGTTTGTGTTGTTAGTTAAGGTATTTTGAGTGCTGTTACTCATTCAAATATTGATGGTGTATTTCCAAAAGAAAAAAGCAGTGTTAATTCAGAAAAGAAACAAGAGAAACCATAGTAAGAAATTCTTAGTGTGCTGTCTCACAGGAAAGCAAATTAAAAAGTAATACTGTTAGAGCAGCAATGTGGACCACATATAGATCTAAATATTTCTGTTGGTAAATGGTTGCATCTGTGATGTCATGTAATCTCAAGTTCAGTCACGTCAGTTTATGCAGTGATTATTGATGTGAGACTTCCACAGAAACTTGGGTTTCTCAGCTCTCTTTTGATAAGGTTATATAGTTCCACTTCTGAGATAAGTCTTTATCAGCTGTTGCTTCACTGCAGTACTCCGAGTTGTACCTTTATTTCAACGCAGGGAAAGTATATTATATAAATTTATCTTAGAATAAGTAAACATAAGCCAAAACAATAATATATGGTTTCTTAAACATGGGTTTCTAGATACATAATTCAGCATGTATATAAAAAACCCACTGAATAGCTCAGCTGTTTTGCCCAGTTCCTGCTTTTACTGGTAATAACAATAAAATCCTCATCTTCCTCAGTGGCGATGATTTGGTAATGCAGGTGGTAGTGTAAAGTCACTATCAGCAGGGTAAGAGCTAAATAAAAATCTATTTAGCAGAAATGAATGCAAGGACAGGACTGCTCTATGGTGAAATTGCTTAGTCCTGGTGATACAGTTCAAAATTCAAAGGTCCTAATAAAAGGAACTAGGTTTAGACATTTTCTGAATTATTAGCTGGGAACTCAGTGTATTACTGCGTGTTAGTTTTCATAGACATATTAAAAAAATTGCTTTCTCACAACTCCTCAAGATTTTTTTTTTTACTCTTCCTGGATTTCAGGTCTCATTGGATCCTGTGATCAGCTTTCAGTGTACTTTGGTCTGTGTATTACAGTTCTGGGACTCTGTTGGTATCTTTGTTAGCTGGTACATAAACTTATCTATAGTTATTTATTAATCATCTCATTATACTTACTATGCTATTGTGATTTTTTTCAGTGTACCTTGAGGACAGTTTTGTAAAATCCGGAGTGTTCAATGTGTCAGAACTTGTGAGGGTGTCCAGAAGTAAGTTATCATTTGCATTTAATAATTTTCAAAGCCTGCTATAATCAATTGTTTTTTTTCTTGAAGTATTTTTTTGTCTCTGAGATGTAGGATGCATAGGAAATGCCTGTAACCACACACCATTTTGATATCTTTGACCACAATATTACCATTCATCTTGCATGTGTTTGTAATAAAACAAACAGAAGTCTTCTTTTGTCTTTTCAATATTTAAAGATTGAATCAGTTTGTTACGTGTCCCTCTGCACAGCTTAATGGGCTAATATGTCAATAAAATTACCATGCATAACAAAACCTCCAATTTGTTAGACTTGCAGCTTTTTAAGATTGTCTTACACATCCTTGGATTTTGCTACATCATCTGATTATTCTTTTAGTTGGGTTTTGAATTTGTAGCTCTTAAAAGAAAAATCACAGCATGGATATAAAGGATGACCAACTTAATGTATTAGTATTATATGCTTGCATTTCTTTTACTTGTAGCACTGGCTGTAATTGAATTTCTAATGACATTGGCTTGTTTTGGCATCAGAAATGTTATGCACATGAATGTGCAAAAAAAAAAAGATATAAAGATATATAAGATGTAAATATAAAAGGACTGGTTAAGCTTTTATTGCAGAAAGAAAAACCAAAATGAATATAAATAAGAAGATCTGTTCGGTTAACACCTAAGAATTTGCTATAATAGTATGGCATGAAACCAGTGCATATTTTCGTTTGATATTGCTTTCTGAACACTTCTTTTCTCCCTTTAGTATCAACAGTATTAAAGTATTTCTCTTAAGACTTCATTAGGAAATAAACAAAAATAATTGAAAGTTATAGTTAGAAGTGCCTGCAGTGATGATGCCAACATTATAACAGCTGAATGGTCCAGGAAAATCTCTTTTCTGATGAGGTGAGGACAAAATCAGTGAGGCACAAGTTTCCAAAACTGTCCAAATTTTGCACAGCAGTTAATTCATGCCAGGTCAGGGTGCTTAAGGAATTTAATTAACTTGGTGAGGCTTAGGATGCATGTGTCATTTAATTTGCTGTGGTCAGAAATTAATATTCAACAATTAAAATTATGTTAAGTACTTCAGCAAAGTACTGAGCACTGCCATCCTACAGTGTTAAGACATATTATTTTTTGTGCTTGCTGAAGACATGGTTTTGCTGTTTTAGGAGGCTGAGGATGTGTGAAATACAGCTTTCTTTTAGTTGTCAGGTGGTTAAATACATTTTAAAGTATCAGACCATTCAGATTAAAAAAGAATCAATATTGTAGTTATGTTATGAAATCGTACCTTCTGCAACTCTTATACACAATATACTTCTAATACTAAGCTTTAAAGCATGTGGTTTCTGTGGGATTTCTTACCATGCATTTGTTTAACCTCAAGCCACAATAGAGTTGTACTTTAACTGTCAGGAAAAATACAAACCTTCAGATACATTATCCAACATAAAATTACTCTTTTAAGTGCCGAAGGTAGTTAAAATGCACAATGCACAGACAGTGAATAAAGGTAAACACACCACAATATGTAACATATGATTTATTCTTGAAATGCCAAGATGTACGGTACACAGACTCTGTAAGGAAGTGAAGATAACGCTTAGTGTGTGTTCGTGTGTGTTTGTGTGTAGGTGTACATATGCAAAGCAGTACTTGTGGCACTGGGTGAAAGAAAAAGGAGGCAGCAAAACATGCTGTCAGCACATAAGGCTATTATTAATACAAAAGAGTTAACATTAAGGGAAAAGAGTTTGTATCCCCCCAAGTTTGTTCTTTCCAGTTATTTCAGTTCTTTAATAAATAATGTCAGCTGTCATAAACCCTGCCTCATTTATTATAGAAGTCCTTCTACAGGAGGCTTGACTTTGTGCCGGGGTTTATGTTACCTTTTTCCTACTGATGATTCCAGGTTATCTGTCATACAACAAATACATTACGTCTGAATAACTGCTAAGGGATTTCTAGGGACTGGGGAAGAGAATTCACTTTTTTAGATATGTGAACGTTGATAGAACTTGCCTGTACTTGATTTCTTCAAGAGACAGAAAATTAAATGCATGTAGTAGCATCTTGATGTTTTTCCCAGTGTTAAAAATGAAAAGATGGCTAAAAAGATAGAAGATTATCTTTGACTTGTAGTGATGTGTTTTTCAGCACCCATAACACAGGGAACTGGAGTGAACTTCCCAATTGGAGAGCTTCCGAGCCAGCCATATTACCATGATATGAATTCGGGTGTAAATCTACAGAGGTCCTTGTCCTCTCCACCAAGCAGGTAAAAACAAGTGCTAATGTGAAACCAAGTTTAATAGCATAGGACAAGCAATTCACAAATAATGTTAACAGCCAACTATTTTAGGAATTTCCTCTGATTATGAGGGAGGTTACATATGTATATTACCATGATCTATGTACAGATATATAAGTTACAGATCTTGTAATGTGAGATGGTGTCATTATTGCCTGTCATTGCTGTTGATATTGAAGACAATAATAACTTTTGTCGGGGTTTGAAGTGCTCACTAAATCATCTACCAAGAGAACGGCTACGCTGTCTTCCTGAAACTACTGCTTTCAGTAGGAAGGTCTAGCATCTGGGAACCTGCTGGCCAGGCTTGATGCTAGGAAGGTCTGCATCTGGGAACCTGCTGGCCAGGCTTGATGCCACGGGGTGGTTGCAAGCACAAAGACTGTCTTTTGAGGGCTCCCACTTGGATGTCCATCTTGAAAGATATGTTGAGACTAATACTGCTTTCTGTGGAAAAGGCATTAGAACAGGTATATGAAGACAAGGTGTCTTTATCTGTACCATCACCCCAGCTCATGAAAGTGTGTTTCCTGCCTCATCCATACAAATGGCATTTCCCAGCACAGTGGGAACAAGGAAGAGCATGTGAAGTAGTCACAAGCTCTGTAATTTTTGTCAAGGGTCTCCCTGTGCCTGTTACAGGCAATTTGACCTGAGGGACCCACTTCTTCCTTGCTTCAACATACTTCCTTCTCCCAACTCTGAGAAAGACCCTGTTGCCTCCCTCAGAAGCAGCTGGTGGGCCCGCAGAGGTGGAGAATCTGACATACCCTGCTTCTGATTCCCAGATAATGTACTGTCTGTTGCACCTCTGGGGCCCCTTAGTTTTCTGAAACTGTCTGATGCACCATGAAATCATAAGCACTATAGGAGCTCTCATTGACCCACGTTTCTGCACCCCAGTGATTCAGGAAGTGTCTGCACCAGTGGGACAGAATTTAAAAGGATTGTCAGGGGTGCTCTTTCACCAGTGCCTGGTGTTTCTGAGTTATTTTACTCATATTCACTTATTTCATTCCATTGTATTTGCAGTTTGTTGGTTCACCTAGTACATTTTAGAAATGGAGAGATTAATTCTCACAATGTAATAGTATTAGTAGTAATAATAATAATAATATCATAGTTAAAACCTTCATTCTGGTTCTCTTTGGCAATCAGCTAAACAGCTACAACTTATATTGTTATGAAGAAAATCAACTTCCCTCCACTGGCCTCATTTTGTATAGTGTGACTTGAAATACAGGCCTTTCGTTGTTTTTAATTAAACTGGCCTAAAATGAAACGTCTCTGTTTCAGGCCAGCCCTCTTTGAAAAGCTTAGGATTTTGACCTGGTGAAATACAGTAAACTACATTTTGTCCTTATTAACACATTAAGAAAAGTTTCTGTTTTACCTTGACTTTATTAGTAATACTTTTCCAGTGATTTGTTTTGCTTTCATGGTTTCTGCATAGCGTTTAACACTTTAACAGGACACAACCTTTCTTTGGTAGGTTACAGAAACTGGTTTCTTGGTTGTGCAGCCATAGACTTTTATATGTTAACCATTCATGCCATCTCTGAAATATTAAATAATGAGAAAAATGGAAGCATGTACCTGCTTTACATATTGTTAAATAATATCATTGCTGTAAAGTTAATGTAACCACTTTTTTTGTGTGCTTTGCCTGTATTACTTTCTATTGAAATATTTGTTGAAATCCAAACAGTTTATATATCACTACTACGTGCATATCATATTCACTGCCAAATGTCACATTACTTCAACAGCAAAAGACCCAAAACTATCTCCATAGATGAAAATATGGAGCCAAGCCCGACAGGAGACTTTTATCCTTCTCCAAATTCACCGGCTGCGGGGAGTCGGACATGGCATGAAAGAGATCAGGGTGAGTAACATGGGACAATTTTACCTCAAAGTATATTCAAATATACAATAAATCTCTGCATCTGCCTTTTCATTACTGCAATAAAATTATAGCTTTTCAGAGGAATCATTATTTTTCTGTCTGGTAGGTGTATTTGCTGATTTTGTAAATGTAGTTAAAACCAGGAATCAACAGGATATGGTATCAACAACCACATAACCATTTTTCTGTCTGGAGACTGCTTTATCTATTATTTGAAAAGATGTGTGGCAAGCGGGGTACTTGATATTGTGTATACTGTGATCATCCCAGCAAGACTTTGAGTACTACCGTTTCAAACAAGAATCAAAACATCTCCATACTATGGTTGAGTCAACACTAGTTTACTAATTTTTTGTTTTACAATGACAGACTCCTGTATGTGCATTTAGTCCATACTTTGTAACTCACAATAGGTCCAATAGTCTCTTTTCTAAAGAGACCACACATAGCTCTGGAGGACTGTATCGATGTGCTAGAGGGTGTTGGTAAGTGTTGTTGTGTTTTGGGTTATCAGAAGCAAGGAACATGTTTGTATGGAGAAAAAAGTTATGGCTGTCAAAACATTAAAATCAATTGCCATAACTTTCCCTCATGTTACCTTGATGCCTTACAAACCTAGATGGCAGTGTAGTCTTTTCCCTCACCTTTGTGATACGAAAATGTGTTTAAACTCACCTGAACAGTGTTGGTTAATGGATCCTGTGGCTGAGGTGCTGCAGCTGGTTGGAGAGTCTGTGAAATGTACAGCACAGTATGCAAAAGTGAAATAAAGAAAAAGATGTGCTCTTACTTCCTTTGCTTATCTTCCAATGTTTGCCCTCCTGTCCACTGCTCATTGTTGCTCTCATTGTTCTTCAGTAACTGACCAACCATTTGGTCTTACCAATTTTTATACTGTTTTAGGCTTTTTTTTCTTTTTTTTTTCTTTTTTTTTTCTTGATAAGTTTCCTCTTTCATCTCTGTGTGCAAGGTAGCATATGATTGGTATTTAATTCAACTCTCTTTTATTTTCACGTTTTTGTTATAGTTGATCTCCTTTTAATCTGCTTCTGCCTACCTCCTGATCTGTGTTCTTGTCATTAGGCTGTTCCTCTCACACAATGTTTACTAGTCTTTTTCTTAGTTGTTTCTTTTGTACCTTTTGTTTTTCATGGAGGGTCTGATATCTTCTTATTTCTAGCTGTTTGCAGCATTCACTGTTGAATTAAAAAAAAAAAAAATCTGTCCAGTGGCTTTGCATAACGAAACTTAAGAACAGCAAAATAGCAGTTTTGCTACCCAGAATCTTCCCCCTTGTGCAAAATATTTTCCTCTGTGACTGTTAGCTGTTTTGCCTTGACACTTTACTACGATTTTTCATAAAAGACAGGATTGTTCCTCAACTAATTTTATGCTCTTAAAATAGATTATTTTTTTTGGTTATGGGGGAAACAGCCCATCATTCCTCTCTGAAGTGGTCTCCACATATCCCCACTTGTAAGATGTTCTCTTGTGCTGCTGAGTGAGCTGTAGGGGCTTCTGAGAAGTGCAGTGCTGCATGGAAAGCTGAGCCTGAGTCCTGCTGACAAAGCCTTTCACAGATTATCTCTGTGGTTCCCAACTATCTCAATTGCTTTTTAGCTCTTGAATCATTCTACTTGCAAAGAATTGTGCTCTGTGAACACTGGATTTGTTCAGTTTTACCAGCCTTCTTCTTGTCACATTTATTAGTAGCGAACAATGTTATTGTTCAGATTGCTTGAGTAGATTTACAGTGAACCTTAATTTCTGTGCCATTGGGTAGCTAGAGTTCTGGACAGCCTTTAATTCTAAATAGTTCTCTGGTTTCATAAACCAGAGAACTCCAAAAGATGAGAAAGAGAGAATAAAAGAGATACAGTTGAATCAGTGTATTTTATATTTGCTTCCTGGAGTTTACACACCTTCCTGAATATCCTTTTCTCCAGCACTGCTGGACCTAGTGAAAGTTTACCAGATCCCTGGCAGAGAAGTTGTCTTTGAGACACTATGAGGGACTTTATTTTTTCTGTCCTTAAGTTGTTCTTCCATTCCTGCAGAGGGACAGATATACCACTGTCCAGTCTACAAACTATTATACAGGGGAAAGCATAAGCCTTTAGCCTTTAATAATTTATATTTGTCTCCAGTCACTTTCTGAGATTATCCTGCTGCTGCAGAAACAGTATAAGGTACTGACTGCAGTATTTGTCCTTGGTACTTGGCCTCACTGGGAAGGGGCATGTGGCAGCTCCTGGTGTATTTGTTCTGCTGCTAGTTTGTTAGATGCATATATCATCTTCATACTAGCATGTATCTGTGTAAAGCTCCTCTTGGACACAGAGGTCCTACTAGGATATGATATTTGTGAAAACCTATATTCTGTTTCCTTATGCCCGCAAGCACAAAGATAATAGACACCAGAAGTATGAATCATTCCACATTACCCACAAATGATAATATGCAGAGGTAACATGTTTATGGGTAAGTACCCTCTTTTTCACTCTGATGCAATTTTAACTTTTCTAAGAGAAACAAAATCAGGAATAGGGTTGATATTAAGATATAGCATTATTGATTTAAGTTCATTGTCTCTGTTTTGAACCTGACAGAGCAAAGTCTCTTTCTGACCTGAAGCAGATCTAGTTTCTTCATCTGCATACCTAAGTGTAATGTGTTTTCATAGAAATAGAAATGGCATAGATTTGAAGGATTATTTTATCATTATCACTTAAAGTAGCAGAAATGACATGACAGTGATAGTTTGGAACTGAAGATAGTCACAATAAAACAATGGTAGCTGAAACAGTTGGAATAAAGTAGTTAGGAGTTTCATGGGTGTCTAAGGGATGTCTAACCATTTTGATAGAGAGAATGGGACAAAGATTAATGGGTAACAGAAATATACTGAAATTAAAAATATAACAGATGAAAATTTGCAGTGAGGTGGGACAGATTAGATGAACCTTTTATAGCTGTTCTTAGAACAAATATCCTGTAGTTTAGTAGGTAAGTAGATATCAGGAGATGAGCGATTCTGTATGAGTAATTCTGTTGTGATCATAGTTTCTACAACTTCTCTAGCGTGCAAGCATACATCATGAGGGGTAGGAACATGCATACAGGAGTATTTGTGATTTAGCCATGATGTGACATTTGTGAAACTACACTTTACACTTTCAGTTGTAAAACTCCAGACTTTGTTCTTTTGCTGTTATCTGTCTTCCTGTCATACTACTTCCAAAAATGTTTTGATAAAATTTCCAGATGTTGTGTTTTATAGTCTTATTTTAGGGAAGCTGGCTGCTTGAAGACATAATTTGGGTCAGAAATAAGTAAACTTATCTGAAAAATGGGAACTTTAGGTGGTAAAAGGTTGGTCAAAGCTGATCCATGAAGCATTATGAGCAGTGGCTTCATTATCCAATGCTCTAATATTGGTACGCATATTATAGTTCTGATGTATATAAACCCCCTCTAAATAACCGAAATTAGTATTAAAGAAAGTGAAAAGTCATCTCTCAGAATGGTGCATTAACATGACAATTAGGACTTCAATTTCTATTCTGCTGTCAGATCTTGTGCAAATTATTTGTCCTCCCTTGTACCTCATTTTTTCCAATTGAGTGTCTTATTAACTTCAATAATGTCTGAATCATGTCTTACTTATATTTCTACCAACTGGAAATATATCTAGATCTAAAAAGTAGTTTTCTGTAAATCTCTTGCAGTCTTCATTTTTTCAGGTTGCTATTACTGAATTCTTTACATGTTTTGATATTAAACAAAATTTTTTGGAGTTCCTGCAGTACTGTAGTAACACTTTGTGAAATAGATGGAAGTTGCTGCATGAGTAAATTTGCTGACTGTTTTAGAAGTTCTGAGTAGAGGAGGATAAGATTTTGTACAGTAAAAAAAGAAAAAAAAAGCCCTCCCTATTTGGAAAAGGAAGTTAGTAAAAATATAACAAAACTACCACTTAGTGCAATGGATAAAAAATGCTTTGGATTGAGTATGCTAAGAACTGTTGGTGAACATCTTGCTTTATTAACTGGTAAGTAAATAATACTTTTCCTTAAATCATAAGGAAACAGGAATATCAGAACAGAGGTAGAGTATGCACCTATGGCTTCCCTTCCAAAAGCTAGGTTGACGAAGTGTATTAACGTAATTACAAAAAAGTCAGTATTTGTCCTTAAGATACGTTTTACTGTTATAGTGTTACAACACTGTGTTTGTTGTAAATAAATAAAACAGGGGTTATCACCCACGCACGTTGGTCATGATAAAAGTGGAGAGATTCATGTGGATTTCTGTAGTAGTCAGGTGTCTGGAAATATTGAATGTCAATATACAATGAAGTGAATTTTAATTTTACAGTTTCTTCATCATGTTCACTCTCTTACACCTCACCCACCTCTACCAACAGTCAAGAGTCAAGATGCCAGCATACCATTAAAACTGAAACAGCTGGATCGCCTTCACCCGTTGATTGGCCAGCAGCTGTTGGACCCTCTACTTCTCAGGTCCCGACCCCCTTTGTTGGATACCCCTCTTCTGGACACTTGTCCCCTTTTGCTTTCTTCCCACCCACTGGACACTCCTTCCCCATTGGGGTTCTTCCTGATGGCTCTTTCCTTCTTGGGCCTTCTTCTCATGGACTGTCAAAGATGGACGTTCTCATTTCTGAAGTAAGGGAACTAAAAGAGGAAGTAGTAAATGTGGCCCAGGAGTTGAAAACGATAACAGATCACCTTGGGTTTTTGGTGGCCTGTGCTGGACAAAGTTCAGGATTTTTTCCAGGTCCTGGTGCTCCTTCTGAAGGTTAATGCTTTAGAAACTCATAGTCTCCATCTAACAGATGAATTCATCTTGCAAAGGTTTACCTTGATGAATATCTGTTAAATGCATTTTTATGTTTTTGACTCAGTTTGAGTTCTCAAAATCCTTGTATGTCAAAGCATGTTTTAAAAAAATTTATG